AGCCCACATGACTATCCAGGACATCTGCAGAGTAGACACCTGGGTCATCTGTCCATACTACGCACTGACCCTGTAGGCCCTGGATGAGACTTGTTTCAGTAGAAAAGTACTGTGAACTCCAAGCCAACCTTTGCGGATACTGCTAGTGACTCATTTAAAGTGGAATTGACATGAGCAAGCACTTGAAGAAAAACAGTTAACTACCTTTCATTTGTCAGCTGAATAAGTGGGTTGTGTCCATGAAAGCTCGTGATACTATTTATATATATTTTTGTTAGCCTCCAAGGTGCTATAGGACGATTGTTTAAGTTTTTCTACCTTTCATAATTATTCTTCAAGATGTGTTTCTCATGTTCATTCCATATCCTACCCTCCCACCCCTTTTTTGGAGTTGCCAGCAAGAAGGAACTGATCTGATGGCATGTGGTATACCATCACATGAGATCACCACTCCAGAGTGTGCCACAGCCAGCTCTACAGATACCATTACACACCTAAAATGGAATGAACATGAGCAACAAATCTCTAAGAGCAACAGAAGCTCCCTTGGCTCGTCCCCCCTGGTGTGTCAGACCAAAGGTCTATCTAGCCCAGTATCCTGTCTGCCGACAGTGGCTAGTGTCAGGTGCCCCAGAGGGGGTGGAACGAAGACAGTGATCAAGCAATTTGTCTCCTGCCATCCCTCTCCAGCCTTTGACAAACAGAGGCCAGGGTCACCATTCCTTATCCCCTGGCTAATAGCCTTTTATGGACCTAACCTCCATGAATTTATCTAGCTTTTTTTTAAACTCTGTTAGGGTATGTCTACACTTGCACCCTAGTTCGAACTAGGGGTGCAAATGCAGGCATTTGAAATAGTAAATGAAGCGGGGATTTAAATATCCTGCGCTTCATTAGCATGATCTTGCCGGCATGTTACTCCCGATCAACAGCTGTTTCGAAACTGAAAGTGCACTAACGTTACTCCTCATTTTTTGAGGAGTAACATTAGTTTGAACCAAGGCGTTTGGTTTGAACTAACATGTCCCGGCGCGCACTTTCACTTTCAAAATAGCTGTTGATTGGAGTAACGTGTGGGCGAGATCATGCTAATGAAGCGCGGGATATTTAAATCCCCGCTTCAGCTATTTCGTATTTAGCAATTTCGAATTCCTACATTTGCATCCCTAGTCTGAACTAGGGTGCAAGTGTAGACATACCCTTATAGTCCTAGCCTTCACAGCCTCCTCTGGCAAGGAGTTCCACAGGTTGACTGTGCACTTTGTGAAGAACTTTCTTTTATTAGTTTTAAACCTGCTACCCATTAATTTCATTTGGTGTCCTCTTGTTCTCATATTATGGGAACAAGTAAATAATTTTTCTTTATTCACCTTCTCCACACCACTCATGATTTTATATACCTCTATCATATTCCCCCCTCAGTCTCTTTAGCCTCTCCTCATATGGGACTCATTCCAAACCCCTAATCATTTTAGTTCCCCTTTTATGAACTTTTTCTAATGCCAAAATATCTTTTATGAGGTGAGGAGACCACATCTGTATGCAGTATTCAAAATGTGGGCATACTATAGTTTTATATAGGGGCAGTAAGATATTCTTCGTCTTATTTTCTATCCCTTTTTAAATAATTCCTAGCATCCTATTTGCTTTTTTGACTGCTGCTGCACATTGTGTGGATGTTTTCAGAGAACTATCGTCATGCCACTGATGCACACTTTCCTGCTTTCTGGGGGTACGTCTACATAGCGGCATTATTTCGGAATAACTGACGTTATTTCAAAATAACATAGTGCGCGTCTAAACAGCAAGCCATTATTTTGAAATAATTTTGAGATGAAGGACTTCTTACTCAGACTTCTGTAACTCTCATTCCATAAAGAGTAAGGGAAGTCGAAGGAAGAGTGTTCTTCCTTTGACTTCCTTTGATTTCCTGCTGTGTAGACAGCGCCAAAAGCCGAATTAAGCTATTTTGACTTCAGCTATGCAATTGATGTAGCTGAAGTTACGTATCTTAATTCAACTTTTGCCCTGCTATGTAGATGTGCCCTGGGGCTCCCCACCACCCTGTCCTGCTGGGCCAGATCCTCTAGTCTTCTCCAGACAAGGCGCAGTGTTGAGGGCTACCACCCTTCTGCAGAGCAGTACAGACATTGAATCTGTTCAGCTCTGGGAGGGCTCAGCACCCAGGAAACCAACCCACAAATAGGACCAAAACCCCAAATAAAACTGCCTTACCCTGTGTAAAACTTTCACACAGGGAAAGCTCAAAGTCAGATAAGCCCTTTTTATGAATGAAAGAAAGGTGTGCACAATGGTTGTTCCCCACTTATCTGACCCCTCTCCTTCCCCCCAGGTAACAGTTATTTACACGGGGCCTGATAATAAACAAAAGTGTTTTTATTAAGCGTAAAAAGTAGGATTTAAGTGGTTGCAAGTGAAAACAAGTAGATCAAAATAAACTATTAAATTAAAAGGACTAAAACATGCTTAGCTAGTTCTAATCCTCTAATAAATTTGTTACATGCAAATTCTTATCCTAAACAGTTGGTCTTATCTCAGCTAAAATGATTCAGAGTGAGAGTTGATCTTTTCTCTGGTCACAGGTCTACAACTTCAAAGTTCTTTGTATTGTTTTTAGAGTGTGCAACACAATTTCAAAAACTAAAGACTGATTGCTCTCCATTGCTTAAATAGTCTTTTCAGGACAGGAATCCTTTGTTTGGCATCCCCCATCCCAATGGAGAAATACCAGGTTCAAGATGGACTCCACTACCCAGTGGCACAGTCACATGTCTTTCTAGGACCAACCACAGTTTGAGTTTACAAGACAAAAACAACCATTCACAAGCCGATGGTTTGAGAACTGATTCATAGAGTACCTGAAGTGTAACTAATGGTCCTCATTAGCATATTTGGAACTACAGGAAGATCCATGCTTCATATTTCTAATTTCACATACAGGAATAATACATGCACAAAAATGGGAAATACAGATCCATCAGATTGTAACTATAAAATAAGATATGTTACATGACCTGTTTTGCATAAAGCATCTTTGAGTTATGCACATTCATAAGCCAATTTTCATAAAGCATGGGCCAGTTTTCATAAACTGTCACAGGTAAGTAACCATTTTTCTGTTGTAGCATGTGGATTTAAATGTGGGTCTCCCAGATCCTATGCTTATGCCCTAATACCGGACTAAAGGGCATATGGGAGGGATAGACAGATACTTCCAATGTGCTGATAAATTCTGGGAAAAAAAATTGAAAATAAGCCTAATCTTTTTTTGGTTTTGTTTTTGTTTTGTTTGCCAGGTGAACCAAAAAATCAGTTCTATGCCTTACTTTATTTATAACTCATTTTAGCCAGGAGGATATGTTGGATTACTGCTAATGAGACTTTCTAGATCAGGGGTGGCCAACCCATGGCTCTCGAGCCGCATGTGGCTCTTTGATTAAAAAAAAATGCGACTCCTGCTGCTTCTGAGCTATGTGCCCTGACTACTCAAAGCGAGCAGCTCTGGGTACAGCACCCCAACACGTGCTCACAGCGCCCCAGCCCCTGGAGGGAGAAGCATGTGGTGGCAGTGTGGGCTCTGGGACCCAGGCATTAGGTTAGAGCTGGGGGGGGTGCCTGGCTCTAGGAGTGGGGAGGGGGATTGGGTTGGGGAGGCGGGAAATGCCTGACACGGGGGGAGAGGGAGGGCATTGGGTTAGAGCAGGGGGGCTGGGAATGCCTGGCTCTGGGGGAGGGGAAGAGGAGAGGCATTGGGTTGGGGGGGTGGGGCTGAAGCACTTTAAACTCAAAGTCTTCATGGATGCAGAATAAGGCAGCCAACACAGATGTCATATTTAAATTCCAGGGCAAAAAATGAGTCAGCATGTACCTGGTTTAGACTGTTTCTGTCAAACAAATTCAAAGGCTATTGTTTGCCTGGCTGAAGCAATTATTCTGAGAGATGAGTCTCTCCCTTATTGTTTTTGAACCTCACATATTTGCAGTCTGGGACACACTTCAAATTGTGCTAATTTACTTCTCAGTTCAGTTTAATTTTTAAAAACTCACAGGACATAATAGGGCAGTAGTGTTAAATTTAAAATACATGCTGGGGATGGTGGTTTTTTGTTTTTTGTTTTTTTTAGTGAGAATATTATTGTATTTCAACAGGGATTTTTTTTTTTTAATTTGATGTTTGTTCCTTGTCAAATTCTCTGAAGATCTATGGACTGGCCATGAATTTAAGTGACTAGAGACTTTTTTATTGGTTTTTGTTTGAAATGTCCTGTAATGTTATTTTTATCACTACATTTTGTGTACTATACCTATCTATCTATATATAGATATATAAAAATAAATATATAATACATGGCTCTTCGCACTCTATCTACTGCTATTTTGGCTCTTTGTCTCTAACTGGTTGGCCACCCCTGTTCTAGATCATAGATCACAGATTCAAATTGAGTCTGTATCAATAGACAGGGCTAGCCGAGCCGTGGTGAGCCCTGCTCGGCAGCCGCGCTGTCCGGTGTTCTGCGCATACGCAGATCGCCCAAACCCGGCTCTTCTGGGATATAATCTACTTACCATGGGCGAGTAGATTACATAGATTGTCGAGCCCTGTCAATAGTGATGGAGAGTTGTTACCCTCTGATGGCAGTTTAGTGGCCTGCTTATATGAATTAATATGGTGAATCTCAGTTTGATTTCTTGTTCCCTTGTTACAAAAGCCATGATCACAATTGGTACTGACAGGTTCCCTTGTTAGTAGGCTCAACAGATAGGCCAAGAATTCCACAGAAACTGAACTTTCCTTTCACCCTTGAATAATGTTCTGCTAGAGCAGGGTTGAGGAACACATCATAGGCAGCTTGCACTTTTGCTGCCTTCATTTCTTGAGTGCCACCTGCTATAAGGAACAAATTCACTTAAAAAAAACACCCCTCTCCTCAACACTGTGCAGTTTTCTGTTTCTCTCTCTCTCTCTCTCTCTGCTGCAGCCTCCACAGTTTAAACTGGACCCACGACTGGCTCGTTTGTTGGGAATACACACACAGACCCGATCAGCAATTATCCAGGCCCTTTGGCAGTACATCAAAACAAACAAACTGCAAGACTCCCATGATAAAGAATACATCAACTGTGACAAATACTTCCAGCAGGTAACTCCCTATTGGGAACAAGATCTTATCAGAGCTTGGGACTAGCACCTGTCTATTTCTTCAATTCCACGTGCTTGTCAGCTGGCACTATCACTAGTGAGGGAGATGCTATTCACATACTTTTTTTTTATTTAAGTGTAGACATACCCTGTAGAATCATATACCCACATAGTTCTCCCTCCTACTTCTCAGGCTACATCTGCACTGCAGAGTTTTTGCACAAAAGCAGCCGTTTTTGCACAAAAACTCATGGAGCATCCACACCTCAAGTGTGTTTCTGCACAAGAAAATTTACAGTAAATCGACAGAAGAGAGGGGGTTTTGCATTATAGGAATTCTTATTTCTACAAGGAATAACTCCTTTTTGCACAAGAGCTCTTGCGCAAAAAGGTGTGTATGGACAGGCAGCAGGGGATTTTGCACAAAAAGAAGCACAGATGCCCCGATGGCCATTCTGTTAATGGCAATCAGAGCTTTCTTGCGAGACAGCGTCCATGCAGTGTGGATGTCCTCTTGCACAAGAAGTTTTTATGCGCAAGAAGCCTGCAATCTGGACGTAGCCTCAGTGTTGGAAGGAATTTGTCTTGCTGTTCTGTATTCTATTTTAATTGCTTTGCATAAATCTGACTTATGAATGAAAGCTTTTTTGTTTACCATTTTATACAATCTGCTAATTCTGAAAGGTGGATTATACAGACAAAATGAGTGAGGTAATAAATTCTGGTGGTGAAAGAGACAAGCATTTAAGCTACATAGCTCTTCAGTTTAGTTGTACACAGACTCATCTCCTTTTGTAATACACAGACATATGCCATATGTCTCTTGAAGGGAAATTTCCTGGTAGATTTACAGTAACTTTTAAGAGTTCACCTGTGATCTCTATGTAATGATTTGAGCAGTTATCTTCTCAAGACCCACTTCTGCCATGACATCCACCTGAAATTAACCAACCAAGCCATCCATTAAAAAGAAGCATCATACTCTTCTCTCCACCACCATGCAATATGCTCATTTAGTAATGTTGTTTTATGTGTGTTAATGCCAACTCTGGCCGCCCTCTTTGATTCTGTCTAGTTACATCATGTTTAACTTAGTTTGTAAGCACCTCAGAGGAGGGGACTTTTTGTCTTTGTTACCTATTAATATTAATTATTTCTCCTGTGACTAAATATTTAGTCTTACTTCCTTTCTAACCCTCCATTTTGAATTGCTCATCATTCTTTTCCAACTGAAGTGACTCAGCCCAAAGAGGACTTTTTGAACAAAATTGTTTCAGTTATTTAAAATTATTTGAACATGAAAGGCACATTTGTCTTTGTCCCACTATGCCCCAGTCAGAAGTTTAACATTTCTGTAACCCAAACATTTAAATGTTTAGGTACGTTGAATTTAGCCTTTTTTTCCCCAGAGATAATGGTTACAATTTTCAATAGCACTTAAGTCCCTTTTTAAAAGTTACTTGAAGTCTGAATCCCACTGAAACTTAGTGGGACTTCCTCCTGAGACATAGGCCACTTGTGAACATTTTACCTCTTACCTAATGCTAAAGATACATTTCTTAACTTGGTTCTGCATTTTTAAAGGTCTGAGGACATGGTTTTAATTTACACTATGGCCTTTTTGCACCACTCTTAAATGTTCCCTTTAAATCAATTATTGAATATTCAGGGAAGTTAAAATGTTCTGATATTTGAACCTTCTTAGATATTCAATGATGGTTTAAAAGTTGCCATTCTTCTACAAAAAATGTTGTCACTTGATTACAGAGGGAGACTGCTGGACTGGAGTTCATTTATAAGTTCAACACTGTCAACTTAGGCTTCAATAAAGATCTTAACTGGTTAATGCACTAATTTCCCTGCCTTTGATATTCTCATTTTCACATCAAATTCTATAAATGAGACACACCCAGCCTTACTTATTTAGCTTCATTAACACTGGTCCTACAACTGACAGGTAATTTCTTGTACTGTTATATATAATTTTCCACTCCAACTCATCTGGTGAAGATATTTCACCCATGAAAGCTCATGACCTAATAAATTTGTTTGTATGAAAGGTGCCACAGGACTACCCATTATTTTTAGAGTTACAGACTAATATGACTACCACTCTGAAACATTGATTTCATCTCAGTTTCCCTCCCTCCTTTCCTTGCTAGCAACATGTGTATTTAGGTTTTGTTTTGAACTGTGGCAATGTAGAAGTGTTGGTTTGATGAAGGTGTTATTGCAGGAGAGCATGGGTGAAGAGGTGGGATTGGTGGCCATTCTTATTTCATATGGCAGTGAGTTACACAGTCTTGGTCTGGTTTCTAGGATGGTTCTGTCTCTTTCAGTCATGAGTCTTCCCCAAATAATCTCTGGTTCCATAGTTTTGTTGGAGGATAGCAGTGGTATGAGTCAAGGGTCGTGGAGAAAGAGAGATACCTCAGGGAGCTGGGGCCAGTTCCATGTATGTCTTTGAATATAAAGGCAGAGACCTGGAATTGGACACTGTTTAATGACTAGTCATTGCAGAGGAAACAGCTGCTGTGGGTGAATGTTCATGGAGTGCTGTGCTACTGAGAGTGTCATGAGCAGCTGGGCAACTTATTCCAGTGTTTAACCACCCTGACAGTTAGGAAGTTTTTCCTTATGTCCAACCTAAACCTCCCTTGCGGCAGTTTAAGCCCATTGCTTCTTGTTCTATCCTCAGAGGCCAAGAAGAACAATTTTTCTCCCTCCTCCTTGTGACACCCTTTTAGATACCTGAAAATGGCTATCCTGTCCCCTCTGAGTCTTCTCTTTTCCAAACTAAACAAACCCAATTCTTTCCGTCTTCATTCATAGGTCATGTTCTCTAGACATTTAATCATTCTTGTTGCTCTTCTCTGGACCTTCTCCAATTTCTCCATATCTTTCTTGAAATGTGGTGCCCAGAACTGGACACACTACTCCAACTGAGGCCTAATCAGCACAGGGTAGAGTGGAAGAATGATTTCTCGGCTATGTCTACATTGCGCATTCTTGCGCAAAAAGATATGCAAATGAGGCATGGTGATGAATATCACTGTGCCTCATTTGCATACCTAATGAGCTACCATTTTGCGCAAGGGGCTTTTGCGCAAGAGCCGTTCTGCCTGAAAATAAGCGGCAGAACGGCTCTTGCACAAGAGGGGGGTTTTGCGCAAGAAGAAGCAGTGTAGACTGCTCTTTCTTGCGCAAAAGCCCCTTGCGCAAAAATGGTAGATCGTTAGGTATGCAAATGAGGCATGGTGATATTCATCAGCACAGCTCATTTGCATATCTTCTTGTGCAAGAATGCACAATGTAGACATAGCCTGTGTGTCTTGCTCACAATGCACCTGTTAATGCGTCCCAGAATCATGAGTGCTTATTTTGCAACATCATCACACTGTTGACTCATATTTAGCTTGTGGTCCACTGTGACCCCTAGATCCCTTTCTGCAGTACTCCTTCCTAGACAGTCGCTTCCCATTCTGTATGTGTGAGACTGACTGTTCCTTTCTAAGTGGAGCACTTTGCATTTGTCCTCATTAAACTTCATCCTGTTTCCCTCAGACCATTTCTCCAATTTGTCAAGATCATTTTGAATTATGACCCTATCCTCCAAAGCAGTTGCAACCTTTCCCAGATTGGTATCATCTGCAAACTTAATAAGTGTACTCTCTATGCCAGTATCTAAATCATTGATGAAGATATTGAACAGAACCGGTCCCAAAACAGACCCCTGCGTCACCCCACTTGTTATGTGCTTCCAGCAGGCTTGTGAACCATTAATAACTACTTTCTGAGAATGGTTATCCAGCAAGTTATGCACCCACCTTATAGTAGCCCCATCTAAGTTGTATTTGCCTAGTTTATTGATAAGAATATCATGCAAGACCATATCAAATGCCTTACTAAAATCTAGGTATACCACATCCACCACTTCTCTCTTATCCACAAAACACGTTATTTTATCAAATGGTGGGGTCTAAAATAGTTGCTGCCTTTCAAGAAAGATCTTAATATCATGGATACTTCTTTGAAAACAATGTGCAGCAACAGTCAAGAAATCTAGTTGAATGATAGGAGCCATAAAGAAACAAATAGCTAATACAACAGAAAATATCATAATGTTATTATATAAATTCATGTTACACCCACACCCTGAATATTGTGTGCAATTCTGGCTACCCCAATACCAGAATGATATATTGTGATTGGAAAAGGTTCTGAGAAATAGTATAACAGCTTTCGTATAAGGAGCGATTAAAAGACTGAGACTGTTCAGCTTAGAAAAGAGGCAACTAAGGGGGGGATGTTTCCATTTTGAATTTGTCTAGTTTTAAGTTCCGGCTGTTGGATCATGTTACATGTTTGCTTGATTGGTTATCCCATTATCAAATATTGGTTCCATGTGCAGATAATTATAGACTATAATCTAGTCACACCTTAATCTTCTAACATTATAATGAGCAGTTCCTTCTAAAGCAGGGATGTTACTCACCCCAGTAGCATCTGGCCATCCCAAATTGTTAAGTGCCTTTGGAGTTTGAGGAAAGCAGTTTTAATATAAAGAGTGCCAAGGGAACATAACTATAGATAAGCTTTCAGAATTACCTGACTTTTGAGCCCTTGATTTCTCACCTTCCTGTTCAATTGCAAGGTAGGTTACACAGTTCCTTCTAAAGCAGGGATGTTACTCACCCCAGTAGCATCTGGCCATCCCAAATTGTTAAGTGCCTTTGGAGTTTGAGGAAAGCAGTTTTAATATAAAGAGTGCCAAGGGAACATAACTATAGATAAGCTTTCAGAATTACCTGACTTTTGAGCCCTTGATTTCTCACCTTCCTGTTCAATTGCAAGGTAGGTTACACAAACCTTTTACCTTGTTTAGATCTTCGACTGTCCACGGCTAAAGTTTTCTGAAATTCCTCAGAGACTCACTAACCTGTTGCTGCCTCCAGACCCCATAGTTATAAATCACATCATCAGGTAAGTATACCATCCATCCCAGCACTGCCTGGGTTTTCTACCACAAAGGAAGTGTGAGCCATTTCCCTCTTTGCCCTGCAGATGTTGCCAAACAGTCCTCCATTTTCTGTCAAGCCAAGACCCTGATAATTTGTATTTGTGATACTTTCACAGCCCCCATTATTCTAGTATCTGGGTGCTTCATGAACTTTCATGTATTTATCCTCACAACCCCCTTTAAGGAAATGTTGTTATCCCTTTGGTGCAGATGGGAAGTTGAAGTACAGAAAGACTTAACTGTTTTGTCCAAAGTCAAAGAAGAGGTAAGTAGTAGAGCAAATAATCTGTCTGTCTCTCACTAGTCCTCAGTCCTAAACACTGGACCAACTCTTCTTTCTAAAAAGGTACCTGCCTCTATCCCCTGGAACAGATCCTGCCGGAATATTGAGCTTTCCCCCAGGCCAGCACTCCTGTGAAAAGACTAGCATCACTTGAAGCTCCCATTGTGCCCTGCTCCCTATAGTGCCTCCAACTAGGAGATGTTGGGACTGTAGATTCTGAGTGTGCCACAGAAGACGCTCTATTATGCCCATTCTTTTCTAGTTAAGTCTGGAAGAAGTTTCAGCAGATTCTGCTAAAAGCATGGACTGACATGAGCCTAACATTTAGAGTACAATTCAGGGTTCTGTTGCTGTCTTCTCCATAGTGTTGACCCCAATGACCAAAAGAAGACAGCGTGTTATGACATAGACGTGGAAGTTGAAGATCCCTTAAAAGGACAAATGAGCAGTTTTCTCCTCTCAACAGCCAACCAGCAGGAGATCACAGCGCTGGATAACAAGGTACTGGCACAAGAGTGAAGTATTGAAAGTATCATAGAGCATAGTATATGTGAATATTTAGAATGTGGAGCATGGAGTCACATGCTACACTCTGGGGCTGTGTCTACATTGGCACCCCTTTCCGGAAAAGGGATGCTAATGTAGACTTCGGAATTGCAAATTCCGCGGGGGATTTAAATATCCCCCGCGGCATTTGCATTTACATGGCTGCTGCTTTTTTCCGTCTTGGGGATAAGCCAGAGAAAAGCGCCAGTCTAGACGTGATTCTCCGGAAAATCCTCTTTTCCGGAGGATTTCTTATTCCTACTTTCCTCCTACTTTCAAATAGGAATAAGAAATCCTCCGGAAAATGGCTTATTTTCCGGAGAATCACGTCTAGACTGGCGCTTTTCTCCGGCTTATCCACAAGCATCAAGAGTTGATGCCTTTGTAGACAGTATTTTTCATCATATACATTATTGGGCTCAATATAAAGGTAACTGAGTGAAGTTCTATGACCTGTGTTAAATAGGACCTCAATCTCTAGGTAGTCCCTTCTGGCCTTAAAAACTATGAATATCCACACCCGTGGAGCATGTCCTGTGAAAACATACCCACCTCAGACTGTACTCTCAGAGGGTGTGTCTAGACTACACCTCTCTGCCAACAGAGAGATGTAGACTAGGCACATCGAAATTGCTAATGAAGCGGGGATTTAAATATCCCACACTTCATTAGCATAAAAAGTCCGCTGCTTTTTTTTGGCACGGAGCTTTGTTGGAGAAAAGCAGCAGTCTAGAGGCTGATCTTTCCAAAAATAAAGCCTTTTTCGAAAGATCCTGTAAACCTTATTTCATGAGGTATAAGGGATCTTTCAACAAAGGCTTTATTTTTGGAAAGATCAGCCTCTAGACTGCTGCTTTTCTCCAACAAAGCTCCGTGCCAAAAAAAAGCAGCGGACTTTTTATGCTAATGAAGTGTGGGATATTTAAATCCCCGCTTCATTAGCAATTTCGATGTGCCTAGTCTACATCTCTCTGTTGGCAGAGAGGTGTAGTCTAGACACACCCTCTGAGAGTACAGTCTGAGGTGGGTATGTTTTCACAGGACATGCTCCACGGGTGTGGATATTCATAGTTTTTAAGGCCAGAAGGGACTACCTAGAGATTGAGGTCCTATTTAACACAGGTCATAGAACTTCACTCAGTTACCTTTATATTGAGCCCAATAATGTATATGATGAAAAATACTGTCTACAAAGGCATCAACTCTTGATTTAAGAACATCAGGAGATAGAGATTCCGTCACTTCCCTTGCTGATTTGTTCCAGTGTTTAATCACTCTCCCATGAAAACTTGATTTTGTCTGGTTTTAACTTCTAGCTATTCATTCTGCTTTCTCCACTAGCAAAAGAGCCCTTTACTATCTGGTATTGTCTCAACATGTAGGTACTCATATACCATGATCAAGTCCACTTTTGATTTTCTTTTTTAAGATTGAGCTCTTTAAAGCTCTCATGTAAAACAAGTTTTTTTCCAGTCCTCAAATAATTTTGTGGCTCTTTTCTGTGCCCTCTCCAGTTTTACACTTTTTTTAAAAATGTGGATATGAGAACTAGATACAGTAATGACATCCTCACTCTGTTCATTTCTCACTATTTATACATCCTGAGATTGCTTTGGTTCTTTTTTGCAGAGTACTGAATTAGGTACTCATGTTGAAGAATTTGTCCTTTATGACCACTAGATATTTCAGTCATTGTAGTCCAATGTACAGCCCCCCATTCTATAGGAATGGCCTATGTTCTTTTGTTCCCAGATGTATAACCTTATATATGATTGCAGTAGAATACATTTGTATTAATAGGACCAGCTTACCAAATTATTCAGATTGTTCTGTATGACCGCCCTATTTTTGTAATTATCAGTCAACCAATCTTTTTGTTGTCTACAAATTTAATCAGTGATTTTATAAAATAAATAATTCCAAATCACCTGTTTTTTTAGATCTATCCACTAGTTCTTAATTGTGCTATACCAGGGGTGTGCACTAATTTTTGATGGGGGGCCACTCCCAAGATTTTAGAAAGTGTTTGAGGCTGCACTCTTCCCTGGTATTAATGGAGAAGGTGCAGGGTCTGGGATGGAGGTTGGATGCAGAAAGGAGCTTGGGGCAAGGGATTGGGGTGCAGGAGGGAGAATAGAGTCTGGGAGGGAGCTTGGGCAAAGGAGACATTTGTGACTTAGGGCAGGGAATTGGGGTGTAGGGTTTTGGGATGGGACCTAGGGTAGGAGGGGATTGTGATCTCAGGCAGGAGATTGGGATTCCAGATCTGGGAGGGGGTATGGGTGCATGTGGAGTTGCAGAGCAGGACTGGGGGGCAGAGGGTTGAGGAAAGGAGGGGCTGAGGTGCCAGAGGCAGGTTCTCACCAGGAGACTTACGAGCCTGCCTGCAGAGTTAAAGGCTTGCAGAGTTTAAAATGTTTTTGCCTGCTCGGCCATGTGCTTGAGTGAGTAAGCAGGAGGGTTGTGTGTTATGGCTGCCTGTTATTCAAACAAGCCGCACCCATTGCCCATTGTCTGTCCAGAACCCGGCCAATGAGATTGTGCTGGGGGCAGGAACAGCATCCAAATCTTCCCCTCTCCCCTCCGGACTCAAAGAGAAAGCGCCCAGCATCTGTGTTTGATTGGCATGCAGGGCTGTGGGGCAAGCAATGGAGCCTGCCTGGGGTTCCCACTGCCTCCATGGGCCAGATCCGGTGGCTTGGCAGTTTGGATATAGCCCACAAGCTGTATTTTGCCCAAGCCTGTGCTATGCTAACTGAATCACCTTACAAAAGTCTCAGTATATTACATCTATCCAGTTACCATTATCAGCCAACTTGCAATCTCATAAAAAATGAAGTCAGGATTGTTTGTCATGATTTATTTTCTACAAAACCATACTGATTAACATTAATTATGTTCCCCTTTTTATATAAATTGAATCCTATATCAGTTTTCCCACTCTTACCTGCGATTGATGCCAAGCTTAACTTTCTTAATTACCTGGGTCATCTCACTTGTGTTTTTGAGTATTGTCAAGATATCAGCATTCTTCCAATCTTCTGGAATTTCCCTCAATATTTCAAGATTTATTGAAAATTAGCATTAGGGGCCAGAGATCAGCTCCGACAACTCTTTTAGGACTTCTGGATGCAAGTGATCTGTGCCAGTTGATTTTAAAATTGTTTATTCCTAGTAGATATTGTTTAATATCCTCCCTAGTTACTAATGGACTGAAAGATAGTTCATCTTCCCATAATATGAGATCATTCTGCTTCTTTCCAGATGTGGAACAGAAGTAAGGGACCAGCTTGTTTTTTAACTTTAACATCAGGAATTTCAAGTCAGACTTCTCTGATTTTACTTGAGGACTTTGAGAAAAGGAGGGTGTTTAAGTGTTTATCTACACATAAAAAACTTTACCACTTTAACTGTATTGGTGTAGATATAGAAGTAAAACTGCAGAGGGAGAATGTAGTTACATCTGCAAAACTTTGCTAATTCTCATAAACTAGTCCAGTGTAAGCACCTTTATGTGAGGAAAATGGTGCCATACTATAGTATGTACCAATTTAGCTATTTCACCATAAAATCACATCACTAATCAAAACAGTTTAAATTGTTACAAAAACTGTATGCACATAATCCACATTCACTGAATCATTAGAATAGTTGGGATATTGAATGTTTAACAGCAAAGTCCTTTGCTAAATATTTTAGTCGTTTCAATTGAATAGGTGGTAACAATTACCAAAAAGGGGGGCTAAGCCTTATGACTTAGGCTAAGTCTACGCTGCAAGTTTTTGCCAGTATAGCAGTCTTGGTTACTGGTATGATTTTTTTATGACATTTTAATCCTGTTGGAAGTCCTAGTGTAGATGCATTTGTACTGGCAGATCATGACATGAAGATTGGTGGGTTACACAAAATAATTTGCTCAAAGCACTTTTGAGTTATGTAAATTCGTGTCCGGGGGGGAAGGGGCGGTGAGGTGTCTGTCACAGGGAATAATCACTTCTTTAGATCTGCTGGCAATGCTCCTATTAATGCACCTGACTATGCCATTAGCCTTCTTGGCAACAAGAGCACATTGTTGACTCGTATCCAATTTCTCATCCACTGTAATCCCCAAGTCCTTGTTGAACCTCAGATTTCTTTTGGCCCAATCCTCGAATTTATCCAGGTCACTCTGGACCTTCTCCCTGCTCTCCAGCATAGCTACCTCTCCCCCTAGCTTAGTGTCATCTGCGAACTTGCTGAAAATGCAATCCATCCCCTCATCCAGATCATTGATAAAGATGAACAAAACTGGACCCAGAACCAGCTCTTGGTGCACTCCACTTGATACCTATCACCAGCCAGACATCAGGATGCTGAATACTACCCATTGAGCCTAACAGTCTAGCCAGCTTTCTATCCACCTTACAGTTCATTCAGCCAATCCACACTTTAAAACTTGCTGGCAAGAATACTGTGGGAGACTGTATCAAACTTTGCTAAAGTCAAGGTATATCATGTTCACTACCTTCCCTATATCCATATCCCCATATCCAGTGCACCCACTGACCACAATTTGGCCAATGGACGCAGTGGGGAAAGCTTCCAGGCAATGTGTCTGTACTCTGCCATTTCCCTGGAGGCTTTCTCTCCCCACCAGGATGCTGCCACTGGTGCTCCAATCTCTGGTGGGAGAGGGCCCGGGGAGGCTGTCATAGAAGGCAGTCATGCTTATCAAATAGATTACATTTTAGCCAAAGCCATATACCCTCAAAGATCAGGTCAGGTGTTAACAGGCAACAGTTTCCCCTCTTCTGACCCCTGCTGACTCCCTTACCACTTCTCTAACTGCTTTATTTCCTACAACGTTCCCTTCAATGCCTATTGCTTTGAATCCCTTCATACGTGCTCCTAGTACATGATCCCTCTCCT